TTTTTTTTTTTTTTTTTTTTTTTTTTTTTTTTTTTTTTTTTTTTTTTTTTTTTTTTCTTTTTTCCGCATGGCTCGGAGTTCAGAGGGTGGTTGATTGGAAGAAAGGACGAAGACTAAGACAAAACCTCAGAAGGGCGACTCATATACCCCGCCAACACTTAGAATGCCATTGATTGCACTTTCCAGCATCTCCTTTTCTGCCATAAATCTGACGAGCCAACTTGAAGATTGTCATGGTGAACTACAATGATTTCTCCCAGCCATTGCTCAGCCTGGTTTTTCATCTATGTTCATTCTTTGAATCCCACAAACTGAATGTGAAACCCAATTTCAAAGCCGTACTCTTCACTTATCAAGCAAAACCCATGGAAACAGAGTCGTCGTTTGATGATTAGATAATGGCAATGCACAAGTGCTTTGTCTCATTGTGTGCAAATAATCTTGGCCCTATAGCGATGCCCCCATCATATCCTCCGTCTCCTATTTTATCGTTCACAGACCTACTACTGTAAAGATACCACACACACACACACACATACATACAAACGGAGAATTGGGAGAGAAAAAAGAAAGGTAATATAACCGAGTTGAGATGCGCCCTTTGATCATGCGTCATGTCAACAGCGAACCCAAAAAAGGAACCCGCATAACCTCGAAACGCCCACTGCCAAGTGGCTTGAAAATGGCGGAAATTTCCATCCGCCCAGCTTGATCACTCATCTAATTCAGTCATCGAGTCATTAGAAGAGTTCCACGCAACTCCGGTCCGTCCATGATTATGACTTGCGTTCCCAGTGCGTTCCGCACTCACACTGAACACCAAAGCCCGCGCCGATGATATGAGGAAATATCATGCGACTAGTCCTCCTCATAGTTTTCGTCATCACTATCATCGCTCTCATCCCCTGCTTCCTCATCATCATCCCCTAGACCTACGGCTGATCGAGGACGCTTAACTCCTCGCGTGAGTGACTGAGCTTGATGGTGGTAGTCATCTCCAATTTGCATCTCTTCCACCAACGCTGCCCCCTGTGATTCGTTCGCGCCGGCCACAATCTCGTCCCACATTTGCGAGAGGTGGTGGTGGCTTTCTTTGGAAGAGTTTGAGCTTATAGACCGATGCTGGTGCTGGTGCTGACTAGGATGTGAGTGGTATTGATCTTGAAAACGCGCATAATGATGTTGGTGGTGGTGATGGTGCTGCTGCTGTTGATGATGCTGAGACTGGGAATGCTCCTGGTGATGTTCTTGCTGTTCATCAACAGTCACAGGCCAGTGAACCTCCGCACCGGTCGACGTGGCGGGTGTCCAGAGACCATGGTCATCAACCAGCCCCCCGGCAGTGCCATTGCCCTGCCATTGCTGATGCTGCTGCTGTTGTTGATGAGGATTCTGATGAGATGTTTGGTGTAGCTGATGGCTATAACGTCCATCGACCGACCCCGCTCTTGAGACGGGGTTGCTAGATGGATGTGAAGCAACAGCAGAAGTCTGAGGATGTAGATGTTGAGACGTCAACGACGACGTCCTTGCTCCCCATTGCTGAGCACCATCATTAACAGCAGCGTGAGTACTAGCAGCGGCGTACCCCGCTGGTGCCGCTGACCAGGTTGATTCGAACCCACTGGTAGCAGACCAAGTGGACGGTGCGGTGGTGGAAGGACCATAGATATTAGATGTAGCGGTCAAAAACGGATCCGTCACAGTAGCCAGATCACTCAATGAAGGTTGTGGCGGGTTGTGTGCATGTAGAAGATGATGATGACTGGCATGGGAAAGACCAGTATGGGGGGCTGGATGTTGATGGCTGTAATGCAGCTTCTGACTCCCACCACCCGGACCACCCGCGGCATCAAAGTTGTGAGTAAATGAGTTACTCATTGTTGCGCTAGGCGGAGGTGTCTCCAAGCCCGAGTGGGCACTGGCACCACCGTAACTCCCCAATCTTTGCCCTTCATGTCCACCTCCGCCTCCTCCTCCCCTCATGCTATGCTCAAGCATCATCTGGAACTGGGCATCGTAGTCTGTTGCTGCTGCTGCTGCTGCTGCTGCTGCTGCTGCTGCTGCTGCTGCCGCAGAACTAAAATGCGTAGCCCCAGATCCCACAGAGGAGAAGGAGCTCCGGGGATCAGTACCACCGCCCCATGTGGTAGATGTTGCGGCGGTCGAGACCGCAGCCGAGGTGTACACGTCGCCCATTCCGGCAGCGGCGTTCAGGTGTTGCTGGTAGCTGGATGCTGGTGACACGATCAGGTCGCCGGCGCGACCCCCAATTCCGGGCGTGGTTCCCATTGATGTGGAGATGGGCGATGGGACGAAGGTTTCTGTTGCACCTATGCCGTGGGAGGGCCCGGGATAATGGGGGTTGATACTCAGTGAAGTCCTACCGGCGGCGGTTGTTGTGTGACGCTTTGGCCCAATGACTTGTCCGGCAGCAGCGGCTTCGGAACTGCTAAGCAGTGCCTTTTGCTGGTGGTAGGGGCTTGTTGGGTCGAGGACGGTCAGGAAGCGCCAGCTGGTCTTGCCGCTTTGTGCGGTGAGGACCCTACCGGCGCTGTCGAGGCTGTGGATGGTCTCGAATGTCCAAAGGATCACGGCACAGCGGGTCCATTGTGGCTGGTGGCTTGCGGTGCCGGTAAGGCCAACATCCTGCTGCTCGAGAGGAGACTCGGGTGGGCAGGACCAGATCTCTTGGAGCATGGCGATCTGGGGAACTAGTTCCATCTGTGTTGGTTGTCCTCCGTCGCCGCTGACGCTAGATCGGGTGCTACTGGTGCTCTCGGTGTCGTCATTGTCTTCAGAATCTTGAGGTTCTCTCTTCAAAGGAGCGGCCGTTGCCCTTCTCTTGTTGGCCCCTCGCCGCACTCCTGTGAACGGGTGAGCGGGATACTCAGCGCAGTTGGTGAGAGTACGCGCCCATGCGTCAGCTGGGAACGGTACCATGACCCAGTCCCGACGTCGGCGCGCCGAGATGCAATTACATTGATGGTCGTACCCGTCGCAACCGGGGAGGTGCTGGTATTGGATGGCGATCTCGGCACTTGTCTCATAGTATGTTTGCGGCGGCGACTTTTCGCTCACGAAGCTCAACTCGGCCGGGCGGACAAGCTTCGTCTCTACCTTCCACCGGTGGCTGAGTAACTGTGGTTGCTCGATGTTAATCTCAATCCAGGAGTTGAAGTCCGATTGGTTGGGAAAACCTCGCTTTTCCTTCAGCTCCAAGGCGACGTTCATGTGCAAATAGTCGCAGCGACTATCGGCGGCGACGATGGCCTCAAGTCGCTCATGGAGTTTGGGAAACGAGGTCTCCCACCCCCTGCTGACTTCTCTGACAGTGCTGGACTCTACTTGGCGAATTTCCTTCGTAAACTCGTGTAATAGCGAGCCTTTGAAGATCTGCTGCTCCTCCTTGGCCCATTTCTCCTTTTCGAGGTTGCGTTCAAGGTGAGGGTATTCGCTCTTGTCTAGCCTGTCGCCCGTGGTGGGAAGGTATCCGGAGCCGTCACCCCGGACATTGACGTTGGGGTGTGACACGAAGATCCAACATCGTTTGGGCCTAATGGCAATCTGGTCATTCAGTGCAAGGATGTGGGCAAAGTACTCGTAATTGGGCCGCTCATCGGGAAGACGACCTTCTGCCAAGGCAATCAGCACTGGGTTTTTCTTGAAAGACTCGATTTCCTTGAGCTTCGTCGCCGACAAGGGCTGCTTTTTAGCCACCTTGCGTGGTCTGCTCTTCTCCTCTTTCTCATCGTGTCGAGGGAAGAAGAAGTGAACTATGCGCAGGGAGGGCGGGCAAGGGGGGTCCGTTGGTTAGCTTGTGTGCGCGCCACAGGATATACAGAATCTGCACGACAGGAAAGCAAGCACAGGGGGGGAAGCCTGACGGGGCCGGAAAAAGAAATGTTTGCTTGGGCAACTAGATGTAGCGTGCAATGGGGCTAAACAAAGCGGAAGGCTTCAACGAATTCAAACTTACAGCATCGATGATTCAGAAGTAAGTTCTTCAAAACTTGGATGTGGCTCGACACCTGTTTTCGCGTTCTCTTCATCTTCGGGTCCGGTTCGGTTCCGGGCGGCAAGCTGGCACGATACGCTATCCAGAGATACTCAGTAACTAACATGTTCCGACCCCAGAGCTTCGAACGCATCGTGTACTTTCTCTTTCCCATTTGCTGAGGAATAAGCAACATAGCTGGACAAGTAACTGTATCAGCCACCTGGTCTGTACAATACAAGGTTCTTCACAAGATCCTCACCGTCAAGAAACGCATCCTCAAGGACGTCTGGCCATTTCTGGTCCGACTTTTCCTCCTTGCTCTTACTTGCTTGCTTCTTCCTGTAACTGAGGAACTGAGGTGACAAGTAGATTGGGTTGATGGCATGTTCCCTTCTCCGAAGCTGCATCTGATGCCTTTGCTGTAACCCTAGGAATTCGGGGGTGCCATAGGCGGAACTGACAGACTGAGTCGGGACAACGGGTGGACTAGGAATGGAGAGCTGATGATGAGCAAACGTCGACCTTACCAGAGCACCGAGTTGTTGCTGTTGCTGCTGCTGCTGTTGTCGGCGTTGCTGTTCTTCATGCTGTTGTTGGAAATGATGATACTGAGCATTGCCAGCGGACTCGCGCAGAGGCGGTCTTGGTGCGGAGAGGACATGGCGATGATCCAGGATAAAGTCCGACGAAGGCGGGTAACACTGCGATGCAAGCGTCGTGGGTCTGACTGGCAACTCCATGTTTAAAGCACTGGTACAAGGACCACTGGAAAGTAAACGCTTTGGTACTCCCACAGCGGGCGGAAATAAAGAGGAAGAATGCCCGGAAGGAATGACTTGTCGTCAGACGCAAGCCAAAGAGGATATAAAATATGCTAGTACGAAGGGGGGTTAAGCCGTTGAGGCATGGAGGGGAGTGGTCAATATCTTATAAAGGGCCGTCGCCCTTCCCTCGATAACGATCACCAATCCCAGGCAAGCCGTCCTTGGGATGTTTCTTGCAACATGCTGCTCGAGGGCGACTGTCGCCCTGGGTGTTGTCAAACAACTGTTATTGGATCAGCTGCTTGTTGTTACTTGGACAGGACCAACTGGCACGCAAGGGAACCGTACCAGTTGACAAGGGGAAATCTGCAGCACCAGTCAGTCGGTGCCGGCCATCGAACCATAGGCAGAAATGGGAGGACTTGGACCAAGCAGCCCTCACTCAGGCATGCGGCAAAATTACTTTGCACAGTACGGATGTGAGCACGGGAGAGAGTGTGCGTGAAAGGGAATTGGATGCAATAAAGGTGGTTGTCCTAAAAAGGCAGACATGGTTGACAAGGGTGCCGAGCACCTCCTTCACAAGGGAACCGAGACATGATTGCCGCAACCCCGTCCCAAAATCTGAGACCTAGGGAAAAGATTCAATTCTTCATGTGCTTCATACTTCATCTTCATCGTTATCTCCAATGGTGACCTTCGCCCGCCCTGTCCCTGTAAGTTGCTGCAGGGCGACCTTATTAACCTGGGCACGAGTCTTCTTCTCTATCGCAGCGATCTGGTCCTCCGGGTCGATATCCTCCGCCTGCGCGAAATCAATAACAAGACGACGTCCGAGAATATGGGTATCTTTGAGAGAATTAAACGCGTTGAGCGCTTCCTTGGCTGTGGAAAATTCCGCAAAAGCAAAACCGCGCGATGATTGGTTGAACTTCTTAGGAATGCGAAGCGCAACCAACTTGCCATAGGTGCTGAACAGAGTCCGCACTTCCTTCTTCGTGACTTCGAAAGGCAAGTTCTTGACGACGAGCTTGGTGCCTTGGTTCGCCGCCTTCTTGGCCATATCTTCCCGCCTCCGTTCCTCAGCGGCATCGAGACCTCTGTGTGATGCCTTGACGCTAATTTTGTGGGCATCAAGAACCTGACCGTCCATGACCTTGAGCGCAGCCTGTGCCTGGTCCTTGGTTCGGAAAGCCACAAAACCAAAGCCCATGCTGAGCACTTGGCCTGGCTTCTTGGGGTCTGTTTTCGTCTTGACCTTCGCCTGGACAAACCCGTCCAAGTGTTTGAAGGCGTCGGTCAGGCCCTGAGAAGTGGTGGAGAAGTTGAGGTTGCGAACAAACAATGAAGAAGTCTCCAATTGTTCCTCAGCATCGTCTCGTTCCAGCAAATCAGCCACAGACGGCTTCTGCACACCGGCAGGACGAGCGTCAGTGGGTACAGCCACATTGTCGGTAAAGAGACCCTTCGGTCCCTTCTCGAGGAACAGGACGGAATCCTTGAAACGAGAATATGCCTTCCTGGCAAAAGCTGTCCTGCACTGGACAGGCTGTGCGAATTGGACGATGGCAATGGTACCGCTGGGTGGCATGAGGACTCTGAGTACTGTACCATGCTCCTCGAAAAGAGTCCGCAACTCCTCAATTGTGGTGTTCTTGATGTTCTTAACGAGGATGGTGGTGTCGCCCCGCTGTTGTGTCTTGAAGGCCTCAATGTTCACACCATTGGCAGCGAAGTATTGTTTTGCTTCTTGGATGACCGTGGTCTCAGCAACAGCCTGCTTGACAGCAGCTGACGCGTCCGTAGGATCCAGAAGCTCAGCCTTTGACACGCCTAAACGTTCTGCCATTGCCGTGTTCACAGCATCTTGGCTCATGAAGAGAGAGTTCCAGTTGAAGGTGCTAGAAGCAGCCTCAGCCTTCTTCCTCAACAGCTGTTGCTTCTTCAAAGGCAGCTTCGAGAGAGCGAATTCGTCCAGCTTGTTCTCCCTCTTGGCAGCGGCGGGCAGGATGTGGACGATTCGACCTTGAAAGACAGTACCATCTGTCTGGAATGCAGCAAGTGCGGACGCCGGCTTTTCGTAGCGAATCATAGCAAAGCCCTTGCTATGCCCCTTGCTATCTAATGGGACATGCACCTGACGTAGAGAGTCAGCAGGAATTCAAATTGACTATGATCCAAAACAATTTGATAACGATCGACCCTATGATCAGAAACTCGAAGCATCTACTAAAATACCGAGCCCAAATTCACATCATTTGCGTTTGGCATAAGATGTCCCTATCAGGGGTTCATCATAAAGAGGGCGAAAGGAAAGAGGAAAGGAAATGTTGCCGCGTACCTCTTCCAAAGTGCCAAATTTGGCGAAATGCTCTCTGACATCATCCTCGGTGACGGTGTAACTGAGGTTCCTTAAGAAAAGCCGTGATGTCTTTTCAATCAGGCTTATAGCCGACTCGGGGTCATGCGTCGAGGTCGCTGCCATTTCTCTGGAGTCCTCGGCAGGATGTTCCTCTGGCTTTGCCGACGCCGTGTTCTCAACGGACGTGGATGGCACAGAAACAGCTGCAGGGCCAGACGCAGCCGGACGAAGAGCGAAAGCGGCATCCTCTGGGTCGACCAAGTCAAGGAGACGGTTTGTCCTCGAGCGAAGCCAGTCATCATCAGTAGCATCGAGAGACACTGGTGGGGCTGACTCAGACGGTTCAGCGCTTGCTGCAAGAGGGGCGTCGACCATCTCCTGATCGGCAGTGTGTGACTGATTATGAGTACGAGAGGGGATGTCCTCGTATTCATCATCACTTTCACCATCCTCCAAGCCGGCAGGCACAGCTGGTGCCAGGACTTCGTCGACGGTGGTGGGAAGGCCCTCGGCATTGCGCATCTTCTTGGATGGGTGAGCCCCCATGACATCGAGGTACTCCTGGAGTTTCGGATCGGCCTCGTCCAAAACATACAGTTTCCTCTTCGGGGCATCTGGGGCGGCCTCCACTTTAGGTACCGCGGCGGCAGTTACCTTGGTGTTGGGAGGCACAACCTGGGGCGCATTCTTGGGGTCGGCATCTTTCGAAGGACCCTTTGAAGCTGGTTTGTGCTGGGGTTTTGAGTCCGCAATCTGACGGTTGCTGTTAGCATCAGGTTGGGTATTGGCCAGCAGTGCAAGACAGGCTGGAGCATACCGGTTTTGCTATGTCAACTGAAATCCTGGACATGCGAATGAAGGAACGGTTGAAGTATTTGACCGCCCGGGCGGCATCTTCCGCTGACTTGTAGCCGACGAAGCCAATATGGCGGGCTGGGATAAGTTTGACATCGGTGACTTGGCGACCCTCAGCCGAGAAGTGCTTGCGAAACTCGGCTTCGGTGATGGTAGGCGGCAGGTTCTTCACGAAAACTCTCGATGATGACTCCATTGCTGCAGCCTCTGTCTATACACGACAGTTGATGGACCGGAGGCTTGCCGCAAGATCATTCCGTCGAGGGTACCGCGGGACTGCAGATTTGTTGTAGTTGGGGGGATGGAAATCTCGACCAAATTTTTTTCCACGGTCATCCATAATAAAAATTTCCCGGTCCCCACTGCAGCCGCGCTCTTATCTTATCTGCCAGGTGGCCCGGGCGGACCCATTCACTACTAGTACTTAGTGTAGTGTCGGGTACATCCACTGTATTCCATCGCAGTGGATGCGCGGCGCCAGCCCAGTGACACGGTGACATGCCCGGCCCTAGGGTGCACCAGTACCACCCATGGATTCCAGCTGCAGCTTGACAAGCGCCCGTCGCCTGGCGTAATCTTGTTGGACGGCTGCCCTCAGTTAGAACACTTTGTGGATGTTATGCCTTGCATCATGTCGTTGCTCATGTTGTAGCGTCGAAGGGCGGGAGAAAATGTTCCTGAGCGGTATCGCCCTTCTAGAGGTGGTAGGTACCTGTAGGCGATGAAGGGCCCGTTGGTGAGAGCTTGTGCCCTGTGCCGCATGAGCTTCAAGCCCACTGCACGTAAGGTATGGAAGTGGAAGCTTCTACACCACACGCACTTCCTGATCTCCAACTTACAAGGACATAACATACGCTACACCTCAGTCTGTCTGCCATACATAGTTTGAGATCATGCTGGCTTTCTCCACCGCCCAACAAGCAATTATTCTACATGCATCATAATGTGTATGACATCCAATCGAGGTTAAAGGATAGGGATGAATAAGACCCAGCACGGTGCATCTCCTGTCTCCAAGTCTCTAGTCGCAAAATGATGATTCGCTCGATGTCCACCCTAGCGAGTCTCTAGCCAGGCACCTCACTTGACGAACCGGGGCGTCACATCCAGTTCAAGTTGACTGCAACATGGAAGGAAAGAACCAACTGCCAAATCTTGTAGCCCGGTACAGGTACCTAGGTACAACGCAAGGTACCTCTGCGTACTTCCCGTCAGGGCGCCTTGCCGCCCTGCCCCTGCCGCCTTTTCTGACCGCCCACACCTATCTCTCTACCTACGCTTTGAGTCCATCCCAAGCACAACTCCGTCCGACACGAGAAACATCCAGTCCCTTCATCCAACGAAGTACCCGACCAACCACCTGCTCTCTCTGCTGATCGTCTATCGACTCCGTACCATTTCACAAACTCGGCGCCGGCCTGTACCTTTACGATCCATCTGCAAACCCCACCACAAGGAAGAAAGGAAGCCAGAGGTAGGCATCCCGCACCACCGTTTTCGGGCACCAGTGTCTCTTTGCCGCCAACATCACACAGGCTTGTTTGCACCTATCCTACCGCATGTTGTCAGACCCCTAGTTGGGCATGGGCAGGTAAACAACAGGGATCACATGGTGTTACCCCCTTTCCCGTCTCCTCATATATACCAACCCAGTCCACAATCACCTCTCTACCGGACTGTAACTTGAGCCTCAATTAAGCCATCTTGTGGTTAATCCTTGACATTGCAGATTATCTCGGCTCCCTTCGAATAACAAACCCCACCGCATCTACGAACCTCCTAACGGTTATCTCCGTACTACCCCTACATCATCGCAACCATGGGCGGCGACGAGCTCAAGGAGAGCATTTCCCCTGCTCCCAGGGAGAAGTTGGAAGGTGAGCTACCCATGATACGGGCCCTTCAACGGGGCTGTGCTATCCGCACCTGAAACGAGGACATGAGCTGACGAGATGTTTGTGCTGGACAGCCCAGATCAAGAGTGCCGATATGGTAAATCGCAACCCTTGACGAACGATCACGCATGACGAACGGTGCCAGTCAAGATGCTGACGCAGGCGTACTTCTGATCAGACCGAAGATATGCAGCAAGAGGCCGTTGAAGTTGGTATGTGCCCTGGAGAACGACAATGGAGCAACTTCAAGTACAACCGAACCTGACGAGACAATTTCTAGCCCAGGAGGCCATGGCCAAGTTCACCGTTGAGAAGGATATTGCACAACACATCAAGAAGACGGTATGACCGTATCCATCTAGCGCCACTACAAACGGACTAGGGTTCGGCTCAATCCTTGTGATGGGATCGCCTGGCTAACGGAGAGCGTATGACAGTTTGATGAGCGCAAGGGCCCAACATGGCATTGCATTGTAGGCCGTAACTTCGGCAGCTTCGTCACTCACGGTATGCAAGGCCTTCCCTTCTTCACAGTCCAGTCCATATCTTTATTCTCCCTCTCAGCCCAGCCCTCCACGGTCCAAGATGTCTGGGGTTCGCCATCTGCGCCTGAAGTCGCAAACTGCAAACGCGCAACCACCACCATGATTGTCGTCAAATTCGACAGCTGGGTTCCAGCAAAATAATACATGTTTTGGACGTGTTCAGCTGACTTATACCTCTTTGCCCTTACCGCAGAGACCAAGCACTTCATCTACTTCTATCTCGGCCACTGCGCCATTCTTCTCTTCAAGACCCAGTAGGGGCGCGACCTCTTCCGCCGTTTTGTTTCCAGGTTGTAAAAGAAGAAAGAAGGCAGAAAGAAAGCAGCACCAGCAGCAGCAGCGTCGTCATCAGCATCTTCAATATTGCTTCATCGCTGTCCCAACGGTGGCCTGGTTTCAACCACGGTTCATGAGATCCTCGCCGTCATCTCTATCTTGTGCTGCGATTTTTTCTTGGTTTTGGCTTTTCTGAGAGCGACAGGAAATGCAACGGCGGGCGCCCCTTTAACTTAGTAGGCCATCACAGGACTAAAGGGGCGTTGACTGTCATGTCCAAAGGGGAGATTCATCACAAAAGTGGGCCATATTGATACATATCACATACAGCATTACTATACCATATCTTAGTACCATACCATATCACCAACGTTTACGAATAATCAAGATATCTTCATGATCATCGGGCTTAGACCACAAGGAGGGTGATATCAGCCGGGAGGGGGGAGAGGGTCGGAAAGAGAATAGAGGAATGGATGGGGCTCACAAAGAGAACTTTGCGAGTGTCTGCATCTAGAGAATCGATCTTTGACCAAAGCATGCAAACTGAAGACGTTTGGTCATGCAAGAAGACAAGGAAAGACAGCATAAGACGACCAAGTTGAAGCTTCCGGCTTGGTGTCAAGCATCTGGTCAAGCTTTGTTGACGCATGGTAGGAAATTTTCTTGGTGAACTTCCCAGTCGCCATTGCCCACCTTTGTAGTATACCACTGAAGATGCCATCGACTATCCACACAGGCGTCTAGCGTAGTGCTTGATGCGATCGAAGAAGAGAAGCGTATGTGATGTCTGTTCAGATCTTTTGAGTTCCAACACTTTCTTTCACACCTGAACCTGACCCGAGTGAGTCAAACGGACGCGGCATTATCCCACTCATGGTCTTTGAAAAATATATCTTAATCTTTAGATGATGTGTCTTGCTTTGTGAACGGTGCAACATCCATTCTTCTTCTTTTTCTTCTTCTTTTTTTTTCTTTTCTTTTTAGGGAAGGCCAACAAGAGCTCCAAATATTCCCTGTTCAACCCCTGGCCGAAGAAGCGAACTAACAAACAAACCAGTGTCATTCATATTGTATGATTTCTGGCCTTCACTTGGCAGTCGTCTTAGCAACATCCTCCTCCATGCGCTAAGTATCCTATCCGTCACGATCGTAGACCTATATGCATGCTCGCACACAGAACACAGACCGCAGTATAGATGCCAGACATACATTCACGTGCAAACACTACAGCCAGTAAACTGCTGAAGTCTCTCAGCTTTGTTTCCTTTGATTTTGCTATGCTATGACGAATTCCTCAAACGGTCGACGGCAAATCTGTCCGTCACCCTACTAAGCAATATCAAATACAATGAACGCTGATCGCCAACAAGCTGTTTTGGTTGATCAAAGTGTCCTTGCAATATGGGCAGAACTGCGACAACGCAGTACATATCTGTCCCGTCTGTATTGGTACCTTCCATAGGTAGCTAAGCTTGCCATCATGTCTCGCACTCAAACCATCATGCCATCTGTCAAATCAAAGATGAGCAAAGACGATTCTCATGAAACTCTCTCTCGCGCTTTCCCTGCCTGCTTATCAGCATAAAGGGACCTAATATAATCAAACGCCCAATTCCCCCATCCCCATCTTAAACTCTCATGTCAGTTCCCGATCTTATGCTCGTCAAGTGTGATGATCCATTGCAATCGCAAGAATAAAAAGACTCCAGAAGACAAAAGCCGCAGAATTCAGGACTGGGAAATGTAGTACATCCATCCATCCTTCCCTCCTCAAATTGGTATCCAGGTCTACATCTACCAGGAATAGCGCCTGAGTGTCGCCCAGTAGACATTTTCTAGACCAAAGAGCACGGCAAGAATAAAAAAAAAAAAAAGATAAAAAAAAAAAAAGAGACTGCGAGTTAAAACTAAAGCCAAACCCTGAAAAGCCAAACCTGCTAGGCCCAACCATTGGGTATTTTTGAATGCCTGCGCCATGCCTTTGATGCTTCGTAAACTGAAGAGTAGAAAGACGGCCTTTGAATCCTGCTTCTTCCAATATTCCGGCAACTACCAGAAAGACGGTATGTAGGCCATGACCCGGAAACAGGATAGAGAAAGAAGAGAAAAATGAAAGGCTAAAAAAAAAAAGGAAAAAGAAAAAGGGTTGCCATCATAATATACCCGTTTGAATTGCTGTTCCATAAGTCATGTGGACCCTCTGCCACTTCTTGCGAACCCTGTGAATAGGCTCCTGGAGTGAAACCAAACGCCAAAGTGTTGTCTTCCATACCTTGAAAACTCCTCTAATGTGCAGACCTCTTGGCAATATTATGTGGAGTTGTACCCATCCTCCTCTGTAGATTGTTCGTCTTGATCCTCTCCCAAGTTCTTCCTCGCCTCTTTCTGTCGTGTTTTCCATGGGGCTCCTAGTCATTCTCCAACGTGACAGCGCTGTAGATTTCCTTCTTCTCAATCTGAAGTCGAGCGTGCATTCGCATAAGACTCTCCACCTTCTCTGATGAAGGGTCTTCCGCACTACTGACCTCACGGTGCAATGCCTCGTACCGGGTATATGCGCGTTTGAACTTTTCGGCCCTGCTGAGGAGATCTGGGTCGAGGCGTGGGCGCTTGGAGCCGATATTGCCGGATGCATAATCGGACGGCGCAGGACGTTTCTTGCTTCTAGATCCAACGTCTCCATTGACACTGCCGGCATTGCTGCTTGCGCTACTAACGATAACCTCACGGTCACGCTCGCGCTCGCGCTCCCGTTTCTGAGGCCTCGATACGATGGCCCGGCGATCTTCCTCGTTATCCGACGCGTTGGTAAGCGGAGATGAGGCCAATGGCGAAGATTTCTGGGGACTGGCAAACTTGCCCTTTGCAAATGTGCTGCCAGATTTAGTCGTAGCGTCAGGTCTTGCTTTGGGCTTTGGCACTGGCTTGACACGCTGGCTAAGCGGAGTTCCGGAGCTGGAACTTTCGTCGTCCTCTGGATCCCGCGGGCGTTTCGACACCATCGGCTTGGTGGTTTTGGGAATGGGTTGAGCCCGAATTGTATCTCTGGTCTCCTCCACCTTCTTCTTCCCAACAGCTCTGATCGGAGCGGCCTTTGGCTTCTGTTTAGTCTTTGGGCTTGGGGCCTCAATTGATTTTGCTGCTGTCTTGTATTTCTCCACGGGAGGACCAGACTTCTTAGTACCAGGTGCAGGCGCAGCAACTCCTTGAGTCCTTCCTAAGCTCTTCGAAAGAGGCACTTCGTCTTCGTCTGAATCGGAATCCGTGATGATCTCCTTGGAAAGAATGCGCCCCCCCTTAGCGGCAGGACCCTTTGACCCTGTGACCTTTGTAGGAGCCACCTTCGGTGAGGCCATCCTAGGCGATGCCACCTTTGAAGCTGTTGCCTTGGCAGCACTCGGCCTGCCCGGCTTTTTGGCATTTGCGATTGCTGTGGCAAGACGCTTGGCCTGCGCAACCGAAGCCGACACTTTCTTCTTGGTCACGCCTGTCTGAGAGTTGGACCGCGACATCGGCTCTCCCTTCTCCGTCTCTGCACCGCTAGGGCTGGCAGTTCCTGTGATTCGGTTTGGGGTCGGAACGGTTTGACTGTTCTTGGCGATAGTGGCATGAAGCTTGCTCAGGCAAATACCCTTTCCGCGTTCTCCCTTGGGAAGCAACTTCTGCCACAGCGGATCCGAAATACCCAACCGCATGCGATCATACTGTTTGATGGCGTTGTCGATCGCTTTTTGGCGGTCTTCGTCCGTGGCGTAGGCATACTCAAAGACATCCAGCTCTTTCCAATACATTTTCTTAAGAACCCATTTTTGCTCATCCGAGTCAAAGTCAGCCACCTTGTTGAGAATCGGGTGGAATTCTTGCTCATCTCCGTCGTATCTCTCAAGAAGTTCCTCGAATGTTAGGTTTTGGGCAGCAAGCTCGTGGATGATGGGGAATTTCTGTTGCTTCAATCGGTCACCAGGGCCGTTACTGGTAGGACCCAGGGAAGGTGAACCAAGCCCACTCAACGCAGGACTGACAGAAATCGACCGAGACGAGCCATTGGTCTGTGACCCCAGGAGTCTTGCCTTGCCGGGGTTGATTTTGGCACCCTTTTTGGAAGGCAGTCCCTCGACGATCAAAGCGCTAGAGACCATGTTAGTCACAGGCTCACGAGTGGTTCACCTTGGGAACACGTACGAGTTCTCTCGCTTATCTGCCTCAACCTTGGCGAAGGAATTCTTTAGGTTTTCGACTGCCCCTTCGATACCGTTGGAAGGTTTGGTGGTTTGAGTCGCCTTGCGAGCCTTGGCCCTTTTGTAGTAGTCAAAGATTGACATGACTGGTCCCAAGACTCGTTGACCTCTAGTTGGCTTGTTTGGGTTGGTGTAGAACAACTCGTAGTCCACTGGTTCTGTTAAAAGCTCGGGCTGGAGAGGTACTTCCTGATCTTCAATGAGGATTGCCTGGCGTGAAACGGTTAACGGTGAGTAAGTAATGAGGATAGGTGGGGAGGAGAGCCGACAGAAGAGGCGCGGGGTAGGACGGCAACACAACAATAGACTGAACAGCTATTGAGTATTGAGCATGTTCTGGGTTTGGGGTAGAGACCGAGGCGCTCTTGAGTGGCAGGTACAATAGCAATAGACCATGCATTTGTTCCTGAAAAATCTGAGGGCAAGGTGACGAGAGGCTCAACAAACTTACCGGATCGTCACTCAGTGACAACTGAAGCTTGCCCCCATTCTGTGCGCTCTCAATCATCTGCGCAACGAGTTTAGCGGACAAGGGCACCGCAAATGCGTGCGTCGATCGCCGAGCTGCTGCTTCGGTCGGACCTTCAAGGAGAAGGCCATTGTCGGGTATTGCCAACGACATCTTGGATAGATTCACTCGAGCACAAATGCGCGTCCACCACAATCCCTCCTCTTGTCTTTCGTCTTTCCTGCTACAGGCTCTCTCCTCCTTCGCTACTCCTATGTGTATGACCCGATACTAGATACGGCGGGGTTCCCGCACTGGAGCGGTGGCTTGAGGTCTTGTGCGGAAAGTGACAATTGTCCAGCGCCAAAAATTGTGACGGATTTCTGAGGATCGCCGAGTGTCGTATGGTACGGTATAGTGGTATACTCAATGAGCGGATGAGCAGGGTGTTGGGTTTCGCTTCATCGTCCTCGCGTGGACTCGTTGGGCTTGGGACCAGGGGGTCGATCGTCGTCGGATGTGGTAAGATGCGACTTGAACAAGCACTCGGGGTGTTAGACTTGATTTTTTTTGTTTTTTTTTAGAAGAGCCGATAGGCGAGAGCAAGGGAAGATTCAACGTCAACGGCCCGGGAAGTTGCAAGGAAGAGAATGCAGACGGTGAGGGTGCCGTGCTCTCGGATGAAAAGGGCGGCGTGAGGGGGAATGACAACAGCGAACCTTCAAGGCTAACACAAGCGAGAACGGGGCGGAAGCCGTAACCGAAGTCGAATTACCTAGTGACAAGGCGCACACAAGAGAGGCAGAGGCGAGGCACCCAAGAGTGACAGCAACTGGCCCTGGACGACAGCATCAGTCGACGACAGGCAGGCGAGCGAAAGGAGGACGATTTGACTAAAGCACGGCGTAACGTGGAAGAGAACCCGGCCGACGAGAACGTGAACCTGGCAGAGGGAGGGCGGAGGTCAAGGACGGGAGACAGGTTGGGAGTGGAAGCGAAGTGGTGAGAGTGGAGAATGGAAGTGGTTGCAGGAGGATAGGTACCCACCCTGTTCACAGAAGGGTAGGTACCTCTTACCTAGTGTGGAATACTCACAGCAGGGTTACACTACACTTTTGGTGTACAAGTGCTGAGAGGTGCCCTGGTCCTACTGGGGCGTCCGGGGAGCACGGGGTGCACGGGGTACCTCGATGGATCTCCTGCTATGATCGAAAGTGTACATGGAACGGGCGGATGGGAACGAAACGAAGTGGAAGTAACTCAAAAGGCAGGAATCACGCTAGCCTGGGTGGGCTCACAACGACCGGACAGTGTAAAGTATTTTCCCTCACTCCATCGGTAGAGGTGCAATGTGGGCAGTGGTACTTTCCCTTGGGCTGGCTGGAAATAGCCTAACCGCAGCGCTTGCGACATACACTACAACGGACCACCTCATCCGTCCTTTGTTGTCGGCCAGTCGTGATCAGGGCCGCGGCTCTCACAACCCTTTATTTCACCCTAAACTTGTGCCTCTTGCGATTGAGTATGGTTTGGTTCTTTTTGCTGCGGCAATCTGGGATTGCTGCCAATCTGCTGTTAATGGCGCAAAGGCAAATGACGCAACACAAGGCTTGATGTGACTGGCGCAAACCAGAGGACAAGCAAAAGCAGAAGTATATTCTAGAGGTGGAATTCCACTTGGTCCGGTACAGTTGAACGACCCCTACGTACCTCTAGTGATATGGTCTGACGGGAGGTAAGGCGGTATCGCCAGGTACACGGTGGGCCGCCCCATTCAATCCTCACTGCATTGTCCAGCCACGAGCCACCTCAGCTCAGGGCACCGCCGGGCAGCACACCCACGGAGCCACGCAACAATAGAGCTGGCGATGCGCGAGGTGGGCCACAGCACCTGCACTTCTTCCCTCCTGTCTGACGCTTCCCCTCTTGCTGCGCAAAGTCCTCTCTAAGTCAAGGCTTCAAGCCATTCACAAAGAGACGGGAGAGAATCACTCACCACTCTTGGCCAAGCGCCATCTCGTGTCTGACAGGGGACAGGGGTTGCGGGTGAGCAGCAACTTGCATGCGCCAGAGCAGCTCAAAGCCCGGCATCATGCCCGCATTTGCGAATCGACACAGAAAAGAACAAGAAGGAACAGCCATGTTCTTCATGTCAAACTCACGCCTGGCGCTGTTCTCTTTCGTCGACTTTTGGTTTCTTTGCTATGAGTAGTATTGGCTATATATGCATGGTAGGTAGCGGAGCACTAAGGCCGGTATATACCGGGCCTGTCGTGAAGGATACGACGATACCAAGGAACGGACAATGGTTGCAAGAAGTACGTGCGTACCCTTTGGGTCTTGGGCCATCCCAATTGAGGGATCTTTCCTCGACGTGGGCTTGCAGGGCGAACGACCGGAACTTGTGTTCTACACCAGTTTGGACTTGCGAATGCTACCCAACCGCCGTCCACGCTCACGTTCGATGGATGTCCTGATCAGCTCTTCCGTTGTGCGGGACGGGGGTACGGCTATCGCTTCCTCCGCTGATCCTTTTGCATGTTAACGTAACACCCACACGTTGATTTTGACTTTGGAATCCCCCTAAGAAACCATCGACGATGATCAAGTCAACAGCAGCTCCGAGTCGCAAGTTGGCCAGCGAGAATTACCAAGTCATACGGACGCCGGCATTTTTTGCCTTTCTGAAGCACGAAGCAGCTGCTTCGCTTCCTGTTAGGCCGGTTCTACATGCCCTTGCCTAGCTCACTCCGCACATCTCCCAGGCAAGCGTGGTCTGACTGTCGACCTTTGAGCCTAGAGCACCATCCATATGGGTCTCGCGGTGATGCACATCAGTTTTGCCTCTTTGCTCCAACACAAGGTGCAAAACACAATGGAAAGCATCGATGGTGGATAGAGGTATTTTACTTAAAACGCCTACAACGTACTGCAACGGCCTTTTAAAACTGTGCAAGTTGCTTGTGGCTCTGGCCTTGCCCGGCCGCCAAGTTTCATCGCGGCTCTGTACCTATTTTGGCTCGCCAAGTTCCAGAGGGCCCACTGCAGCCAACTAAGGGCGTGTTTGGATACTCTGAAATGGGGCTCTGAAACGTTATTCTGAAATGGCATTTCAGAGGAAGTGCACAGACCCTTCTGAACCAGATTTTGGCAATGAATGCCAAGACCGAGAGCTCCCATTTGATCCCATTCAGAGTGACATTTCAGAGTGCCGTTTGGTATTCCCCAACTCTGAAATTCTCACATTTATTTATCTATAATCAATTAAATCTTCTTATATACCTTCTTTCATATCTTCTTATATACCTTCTCACTTTTTCTTTTTTAAAATAAAAGTATAGTTGCTGTTGTAGTTGATTAAAGGTAGAGGTAGTGATGAGGGTTGTCACGTGTTGTCAAAGATGTGTGGAATTTCCAGTTCAGAGCGACATTTCAGGAGCCTTTTGGGCTCTGAACGAAAAAGACGGACTTCAGAGTAATCTACGGTTTCTGATTGGCTCAAAGTCAAAAGTGGAGACGCCCATTTCAGAACCCCAGTTTTCCAGCAATTTCAGAGCCAGTCCATTTCAGAGCGCTCCCAAACAGCGCTCTTAAATTTTCGACTCTGAAGACTTCAGAGCCCCATTTCAGAGTATCCAAACACGCCCTAACTGTTGAGGCCTCTGAATCACGGCGCTTTCAAACTTGCGTGGAAATTGGCAAAACCCCTTCGCGATTCTGTCACCACGAGAATGGCGAGTAATCTATTGTAACTACGCTCTCAATAATCCAATGCCATATCAACCCAGCATCTTTTAGTTATGATACCCTTTTCCTCATACTTGATTCTTCATGCTGACGACGAGCACAAGTTCGCATCTCACTAGATAGTGGGGTATCTCTACACTACTAGTGTAAATAGTAGTAGGCTCACAGCAAGGAGCTTCTCTTCATTAGGCCCGGAACCCCAGCCGATCCCGCTTTCGGGGCAATCCGCTCCAAGCGATGAAAATCATCCGCCCATTCACACACACACAATACCCGCCGACCAGTGACATCGTGCTGTGCCGCGGCACCGATCCCTCGCAACCCAGATCCCATTGATCTAATACAATGCTCTGAGAGATGACCCTCGAGAAGCAATTTGGGAACGATGATGAGAACTCTTTCACTTCAAGTTGAATATTCAGCCGTGTATACTATTGAGAGGAATTGGGATGGCCTCCGCGAGGCTCGCAAGTGCCCAGGACAGAGAGTGGTTGGCGGCGTTCTGTTGCGGCGAGACTCGTAGTTCAGGGCTGCAGACATGAGGCAGCAGCCGGCACCTTAACGCAAAATAGCCGACTGGTAAGTGAGTCGTGGGCGTTCTCAACTCCGGAGGGTTTTATCAGCAAGCCTTTCCGCTGTAATCGCGCAAGAGGCGTTTTTCTTTTTTCTTTTCCTTGTTGTTGGGTGGAGGGATCGGCTTTTTAATGGCCTGAATATCAATCAAACTTTAATGATATTCTCCGCGCTTGAAAATCCATGGGGGGTTTAGATTGGACCTGTCGTTGATGCGCTAATTGCCTATTCTGCTCACGCGGCTATGCCATAGTCTCAGTCTCTTTATACAAATCTAAAGAAACATACATGGCCGGCGGAGAATTACGTCAGTCCGGGTTTGTGAAAGTGTCCACCTTGAACCTACACAGTTAAGCAATACTCCATATCGCTGCTGCCCTGGCGAGTCCCTGGCTTCTTCTGTCAAACCGCGCAGTCCCTCACAACAACCAATGTCAGGCTCGCCTAATCAGTAGAGGTCAACTAGGTAATCGAAAGTTGAAACAAATCTCAAACAGATTCACAAATCGCTATCCCGGGTTCCGAGTCGTTCGCGCGAGAAGTGATGCCCGGGCAGACAAGCGTGCGCCGTAGCTATTTCTACTTACCTGTGTCTCAACTTCAACGCAAGCGACCTCCCTGCCAATTCAAGAAACACTGAACCACGCAGTTCTAGCTACACCGCATACCTAACCACGACCCAACCACCGTAAGGGCCCACGAGTTAGTGTTCCCCCAGGTCCCTAGAGGTAGTCAATCATTCAGAAATCCCGCGACACCCAAAGGGCTAAGGGCCAAGGACAAGTCGATGAACGATGTGCCCGGTGTGCCGTGTGCCGTGTGCCCGGAAACGTACAGCGCAGCAGGACGATATG